TAATATTCAAATAACAGAACTTAACAACAAAAAGGGGATGCAGATGAATGTCCATTTTGTATCTGTGTATTCAAATGGCTAGGATCAATATACAGTTACATTCTCTTAATGAATAGAGGGATTTGTTCTAAGGTGTTTGTAACTAGGATATCATGTCTGCATTTTGTACAGCAGTTAACCACTAGGAAGAATGTACACAATATGTTAATTATTGAAACTGTCCTACCAGTTTGGTTTGAAACTGTCTCATTGCTATTTGTTTCTCAATAAATTTATGGAAAAAAAGACTAAAGCTATATTTGCACACCAAGAGATATGATAAACTTGTAATTTAATCTATGTACTGTGACAAAACCTAAGTACTTAGTGGAGTATCTTAGAGAAGCCATATGTTACCTGGTTTTCCACAGTCTGCACCACTCCTTATTGTCTCTTCCAGCTGTTTTCATGCACTGTTGATTTGCTTCCTAGCTCTTGTCTGAGATCCCTGTCTAACCTGATCCTGAATATTTTTTTGACTTTTGCTATCTTATGAATCCAAATCCTACCAAATGTCTGTTCCTCATGCACAGGTTAATCATTAGTGGCTTCTTATGTAAATCAGAACAGAAATGTCTCGCTTGGCCAGTTCCTGTGAAAATACGGGTCTGTTGCTATTCTTGACTACTTCTGTGTCTGTGTCTGTCTCCTCAGCATTTGTCTACCAGCAGAAAGCCATTTCTTTTCTCTTTGGCTGAAGCTCTTTGAGGGCAGCAGCAGCTGTGGCTATCTAGAAAATTCAGGAGGACCTGCTAGATGAGTGTGGAATGGGTGTACCCTGGCCGAGCCCTAATTTGGGCCATTTGGATCCTTGTAGCTGTCACCATGGGTGAGATGTCCAGTGGGAGAGCACTGGGGAGGATTTTCCAGTGGTGGAAATGTCCAGTGTCACTGAGACCCCTGGGCCAGAGCCTCCTTCTTGGTTGTGGGAAGATCTTGGGTTATTGCTTGCAAGGAGAAGCCCACCCTGGGTACTGGGGAAGCTAAGGAACAGAGCCTGAGTTTCTGCAGTGTTGGCTATAGAAACAGGACTTTCACTAGTGAAATAGCATCAGAACAGGTGGTGCCAGGACATCTGGGTCCTGCTAGATATACTGCTGGCAATTTTTTTTTCAAGGATTCGTGTTTTATGTGGAAATTGAGATGTCAGCATACCCAATCGCCCCCTGGTGCTATCTTCAAACCACTGAAAATGAATGAGCTGATTTCAGGTGACATTTGCATGAATATTTTTATACTTTTATTAAAGCATATTACTTTTCCTGTGTGTCTACATAACTCATAGAAACCACAAATTTATAGATGCTATTGCTTAGGATTCCTTCAGGTTAAAACTTAAAAGTTTTTCATTTAATTGTAACTATACAGGTGGTCCCCAAACATACCAACAGTTTCTGGCAGGTTGGGAAGTGGCAGAACTGTAGAATGTTGAGGGCAGACAATTTGGTGAAGTTCCGACTTGTGTCAGTGTCACAGACAGGGAAAGCATTAGTGCAGCAAATGGGAGACATCTCTGTATTTCCAGGTGGTGGTGGGCTCCTAGCATCAACTGTCTGTGCTCTGGTGATGCCAACTTCTAAGGTAATTTTGAAGGAAGTGGAGGACATGGATTCATGGAGAACAGATCCTACTGTTATGTGGCCTGAGGCTGGAGAAAGAACAGCACCATCATGAGATCTTGTTGGATCAACTCCCTGCCTCTTTGCAGCCAGATCCTCATTCCTCACATATGTTTCCTCAGAAGCTGTGAATGAAGTGCCACAGAGGAACACCAGGCTGGGATGGGTCCGGGGCAAGCAAGTCTCAGTTCTGGGAAGTTCCACACCTGTGAATGTGTTCCTTGGACTCCCCTTTGCCATGCCCCCTCTGGGACACCTGAGATTTGCAAACCCAGAGCCAGCAATGCCCTGGAATGACTTGCGAGAGGCCACTGCCTACCCTAAGTTGTAAGTCCAGGCTCGGTTTCATGGGTGGCCTGTGACTCTGGGTGTTTGGGCTAAAGAACATCACTGAATGAGAACAAAGGTCTTGCATAAGAATGGACATTGGGGCTGGGGAGATGGCTCAGTGGAATAAGCACTTCCCTGGCAAGCGCAAGGGCCTGAATTCAATCCCCGGTTCCACCAAAAAAAAAAAAAAAAAAAAAAAAAAAGAATGGACATTAAAGACAAAGAGGTGTCATGGATCTAGGAAACTACTTCAGTGTCCTGGGGCTCCCATACTGGCTGATCACTAGAATTGCTGGAGGCATTCTTAACGGTGTGTTCTTTTGGTCTCCCTTCTGACCTTTCTGAATCAGAGTTTCCTGAGCTGGTAACTCAGTCTCACTGTGTGCCCAGGAATATGTATAATCTGAAAGCTCTCTGGGATCTTTGAACACCAACCATATTTAGGTAGTGATATGAATTGTTTCTTGAGTCTTTCGGTTAAAAGGGACTATCCTAGTGCTCTGTGTGACCTCTCACTTATGACAAGCCTCTACAATCATGCTGGGCTAGAGCTTTAGTGAAGAACCATACTAAAGGACTCTTAGCTTCCATGGTCAAAACTGCCCAATACAATTTTTGGCTCACAATGGAAATGCCATAGGTACCTGTGGAATGACAATCTGTGTCACAAAGGGGACGTGAGAAGTGAGGATTTCCCAATCATTGAAGATTTCCAAGCATGAGTGTATAGTAAGTCATCAGGATAATTATGGAGAAATGAGAGAAGGCTTCTTCAATGGGAAGCCATATTTTAAAATCCATTCACATAAGAAGGTTTTGTGAAGTCCTTAGGTTGGGATACACTGGTTTCTGGCTTTGGAGTCCTGGAGCAAAGGTATAGTTAATACCAGGATGCTCCGTGATGATGTCATGTGGTCTAGGGACTGGCAACATCAAGACAAAACTTATCTGCTGCTTTACTCATTCATTCACTTAATTAATAATCATTGAGAACCAACTCAATAATTTTGCTATCTGTTGCTCTGGGGAATGAGTGGATTACAAATGTTTTCTGGCTTATTATAAGGTTATATCCTAGTAGGTCCTTGATAAGTTGAAAATTAACTTACTATAGCTAATGTACTGATCATTACAGCTTAGCCACACAATAATTTGTAGAGCATTAGTTATTTCCCATTATGTGGCTGATTGGGAGCCATGGCTCATTTCTGCTGCTGAGTTTAACAGTATCAGACTGCATACAGTTATCTGGGAAAAGATTAAAACTCAAAATTGTAAATGTGGTTTCTATCTAATGCATATTGCTTTTACACCATTGTAGAGGTGAAAAATCATAATTTGAGACTATAGTCATTGCTTCCCTAAGGGAGCATGTAGACTGGTGGTGGTGAGATAAAAATAGTAACTGACAGTTAAAATGGAAGGTGGCAAGGAAACTATAGTAGGTCAGAGAAGGGTGAGGGAGCACAGAGAACCTCCCCTAGCAGCTGCCCAGCTTTGAGGAAAGATTAGAGATGACTTTGCTGAGAGAAGTGAGGCCTGAATGTGTGATAGACAATGTTCAAGAAGAGGTAGATGGCAGCTATGGTTTCTCATTATTCTAGTAAGAAATACTAACTGAAGACTTGGTATGGTAGAAAAATCTATGTACACAGTCTCAATCTCACTGTACGTCAAGCTCCTGGCTAAGAGTTATGCAGTGTAGCAGTGATTAATACAGAAACCTAGGCTTTTAGCTACTCACAGTTAAATTGAGTAAGATGATATTGCTCACATACAAGCCTGGGAAAAATCACATATTGTATAGTTCTGTCCAAATATGAGCTATGGTGTAATGGGAGACATCTTAGAAGACTTCTTAGAAGGAGTAGCACCTGGATTTAATCCAAAGGAGAAGGAGGAATGTGAGATAGAAGATATGGAAAAGAGCAGTTTAGGTGAAGGGATGTGAAACAGCACCTGAATGTAGGAATGTCTCTGCAAGTGTACATCAGTAGGTTCCTGATAAGGAGGACTGGAAATATCCTTTTACTTCTTTGGGGACATAAGAGGTAACTGCAAGAATAAAATTTTTGGTAGTCCACTCAGTGTCCTGCCCAATAATTTGGAGAATTGTTGAGCCAGCTTGAGTCCTTATATGTGTCCATATTATAGTGGTGGGTGTAGGCATGGGAGTGTGGTGGGATTAATGATGCAGTTCTCTTCACAACATTCTTTTTTATCTGGGAACAAGATCAAAGAGAACAATGGTTTATTTGTGAGTGTGGTAGTTTTGAAAACTGTGAGGCTTGGATATGAGCAGACCATATCTGTCTCCTGCTCAGAAAAGGTGGCCAGTCCACTATGCTATCTCAATTAAGGGGCCCTGCTAGGAAGATTAGCTGATTACACTTCTATAATCTTTTTCAATCCCTTTCTTCTAGATGTTTCCAGAACTTGGAGTGGATGTTATTAAATCAACGCATTCTCAAGGTGCATTACCCCAAACTTGAGGTGTCAGAAGACTGCCTGTACCTTAACATCTATGCACCAGCGCATGCCAGTGCAGACTCCAGTCTCCCTGTAAGGCTGCCTGCTGCCTTTGGGGCTCCAGCTAGCATGTCATTGGCTTGGGATCTGGAATCAGACAGGAAGGGGCTTGGGTATCTGGAATCAGACCTTCCCTCTATTGGATAAAGGAGAAATGTAAATGCATGAGTAATTTCTTTCTAGAAAAATCATGATAATGGGTGATTCACTTTTTTATTATTTCTGATTGACTGTTTATTGTCAGAGACTTGACATTTACTGTTTATTTAATTTTGTCTTTCCATCTGGTAAAGACTGAATGGTCTGGAAACTTTCAGGAAGGATATGACTTAACAGGACCCTGATTTCTTCTTTTCTTTAATTTGAGAATTCTTTTTCAAGAGAATGATTCTGTCCTCCAACTTTGCTGTTTATAATTGAAACAGATAATAATGTTAAATATTTCATCTAATGATGGAAAAGATCCCTGCAGAAGTGAGTGAGGGAAAGACTGGTTCTATGAATTATGTTTTAGCCACACCTTCCCAGCATCCTCTGTCTCTTGTGTTTTGTCGTATCATAACAAGACCATCTACTGAATGCTTACTATGTGTTAAGTATTGGCAGTTACATCATTTAACTCCCACAGTATCCTAGTGTATAAGTATGGCCAGACCCATTCCACAGATAAAGATCTCTAAGGTATGCAAGGGACTTGATCCATGTTGCACAAATTGTAGTTACTGGAATCTGGTGCCAAAGCCAGTGCTTTGTCCAGTTCTTTTTTTCCTCCATGCTTTCCTACCACAAGGGCTGTATTCTCTAATATGAACATAAGAGTATAGACTATACTTATTATTGTTGTCATTATTACTTAATAGTACATATTTGTAATACACAGTAATGATATTTGTTTTGGGGAATTGGTGTGTGCATATAATGTGTCTTCCTCACTTTCAATCTCTTTACTTTCTTTTGCCCTTCCATCCCTCCATCACTTTCCCCATCTTCAAGAGTCTACTTTCTAGTTTCTTAAGCTATCTCATTTAATTATTTTATATTCCAGGTCTATCATATAAGAGGTAACAAGATATTTAACTAATAACATCCTATTGTGTATATACGCCAGGTATTGTTTATCCATTTCTCCATTGATGGGTATCTAAGCTGTTTCCAGAGAATAGCTATTGTGAATTACACTACTGTAAACATGAACATGCATGTATCACTATAGTATGATAGCTTTTCTCCTTTTAAGAATATAACCAGGAGGGATATATGTAAGTCAAATGGTATTTCTACTTTGATTTTTTAAGGACTTCCCATATTGATTTCTAGAATTGTTTTACTACTTTGTATCTCCACCAACAATGTAGAGGGATTTCTTTTCCCCTGTATTCCTGCCAGTATTTTTTTTTTTTGTGTGTGTTCTTGATGATAGTCATTCTGACTGAAGTAAAGTGGAATATCAGAGTTGCCTTATTTATTTAAAGTGAAATTTAAATCAGATTGCCATATATATAGAATTGGTCAAAAAAATTAAGAATTAGGGCTGGTGAGATAGCATATGGACTAGGTACCTGCTTAGTCAAGGATAGGGACCAGGGTTCGATCTTCAGCACCATAGGCCCCTCTGGCTCCACTGCCATGTACGCTGAACCATGAGACTGGTCATGGTGGTACACACTTGTAATCCCGGTGCTGGGGGGCCTTAAGACAGAAAGATCACTATGAATCCAATGTGCATAGTGAGACCCTGTGCCAAACACATAAAAAAGCC